CTCACCATGCCTTACAACACTGTGTATGCCACTTCGCTTCTTGAATTTTTCAAACCAGCCTTTGCTGGCCTTAAATTCACCAACATCAGCACTTGTTACAGGCAGTTTCTTTATGAGACCATCATGCAGCTGCCTTGCCTTTTCACAAATTATCGATTGCACAACACTGTCTCCAGCTAACTCTTTCTCTCTGATCTACACCAACAACAATTTCTCCACTTCTTCAATTGTTTGGGATCTCTGTTTTGTTATGGCATTCACCCCTTTCACAACATTAGCTTCCATGATTTCTTTTCTCTTTGCCACAATGGAGCTGATGGTTGATGGTGCCTTCCCATACAGCCTGCTGAGTTCGGCAATGCATATGCCACTATCATATTTTTGAACGATTTTTTTATTTCTGTGGTGTCCCTCACTTTTTTTTACCATAGGACTGGCACTAGGAGCTTTCTTTGGGGCCATGGTGGCTTAGTTAGCAGTCACACACAATAAACAAGTGCCATAAACAGTGGATTATTACGAAATGTTTCGTATGACCTCGCAAGATATGTTCACTCACTGAGAACCAACGTGACACTGCCTGAGAATGTGTGTGGGAGGCGGTTTTGTCTGCACGCTGGGCACTGGACAGATTCTGTACCATTGATGAAAATGGAGCCAATATTTTGACGAAGAAAGTCGCCGAAAACGGAAACCGATGATAATGGAGATCGACAAAAACAGAGGGTCCATTGTAATTTAAAAATCATGAAAGGTTTGGAAATTTGCAAAAAATAATTACTTACTCCAGTTTAAACTATTGCTAGAATGTGGCAACTCAGTGACATACTGTTCTGTATATGACTTAAATTAGTTTTCTAAGTCAGTGTATAAATTTAAAGCCTAAAATATATTTATGTGCCATTGTTTTCTACATAGTTTAAATCTTCCAATTGTATATCCATCCTACAACCTATGTGAGTCATTTAGCAGAAGTGATGGACGCTTCATCCTCCATTCATTAACCGAGTCCTGATCTCTTAAGCCAGGAAAAACTTCATTGTATGAAGGCATTCAGGGAAACTGGCAGGCTGGACTTGAGTCCTGGAGATGGGAAGTACAGTGTCTGCACTCTGAAGGAGGGGTGTTAATGATGCAGTTTTATAACTGTAGTGTAAGCGCTCCTCTGGCAAGACAGTGATGAAGTGAGCGATGATGAAGTTTTTCTTTTTCGGGCCACCCTGCCTTGGTTGGAGATGACCGATGTGTTAATAAAATAAATAATAAAATAATGAATGCCATGCTTGTAAAATTACGTCTGGTGAAGGCAATGATCTGTGTTCACAAATAACCCATACTTTAGAAAAGACACTTTACATAGCATTTTGATCCATCCTGAACTATTACCAAGTCACAAATTTCAGTTAAGACTTGATAAAAGATTAGGCAGATAGCTTTATATTCCAGTAAGCTACATTAAAGCTAAATTTAACAATGTGCCTGTATACATTTTATAATAAAAAGTTCTATTTATGCTTTGTACTTTGTGTAAGATGAACCAAACCTTCATCTAATTTATTTTTCAAGTATGGGTCATTGGTGAAAAAATTTACAATAGTACTGTGACATTTAGTCTCCATATCTCTGTTGTTAGTTTATTTGACAAGGCGCTGGCTCTTTAGTAGGGCACAGCAATACTACTTAAAGTTGGGTGAAGGTAGGAAAACAAATAGGTTGACAATGTACCACTGCAGCAGTGACCACTGGTTTACTGGTTCTGGACTCTGGTCTAAGAGTGATGGTTTTTGAATCCACACTTCTTCATGCTTTGTCCTCTACTTAGTTTGTACATTGATAACAGAATTTTGATTACATATATGATTTCTTAACAATGGTTGCAAGTCTTTGAAGAATATACATTTAGAATTCTTTTTGTTCTGTCTTAAAAACCCATAAATCTCATCATTTAAATTGACTTATTTTATACATCATTCCAGTTTACTGTCTCCATTGACAAACTTAATGATTATTTGTGAATTGTTAATGCAAACAATGTCATAATCTGAGAGATACATTGTAGCAAACCATTTCTGAGGTAGTTGCAGTCTGTGAGTCACATGTTAACCCGTAAACGGTCCAGACGTATATATACGTTCACTACCCCAGTACCCTGAATATTTTGAAAAATAAATTTTTTTTTTTTATTGAAAAAAAAAAGAGCACATTTTCCTAAGTGTTATAGGACAAAAAAATTTTTTTAGGGTCAGTACTTACCGAGATGTGAGGCTGCAAAAGTTGACACTTGGAGATCACCTGGCGGCAACATGGAGCGCTGCCGCTTGCAGAAGTGTTGCCAATATATCTTTTTTCATTTTTCATATTTCTTTCTTTCTTCTTTCAACACACCGGCCGTATCCCACCGAGGCGGGGTGGCTCAAAAGGAAAAACGAAAGTTTCTCCTTTCACATTTACTAATACAGTGGACCCCCGGTTAACGATATTTTTTCATTCAAGAAGTATGTTCAGGTGCCAGTACTGACCGAATTTGTTCCCATAAGGAATATTGTGAAGTAGATTAGTCCATTTCAGACCCCCAAACATACACGTACAAACACACTTACATAAATACACTTAAATAATTGGTCGCATTGGGAGGTGATCGTTAAGCAGGGGTCCACTGTATATACAGGAGAAGAAGTTACTAGCCCCTTGCTCCTGGCATTTTAGTTGCCTGTTACAACACGCATAGCCTACGGAGGAAGAATTCTGTTCCACTTCCCCATGGAGATAAGAGGAAATAAACAAGAACAAGACCTAGAAAGAAAATAGCAGAAAACCCAGAGGGGTGTGTATATATATGCTTGTACATGTATGTGTAGTGTGACCTAAGTGTAAGTAGAAGTAGCAAGACGTACCTGTAATCTTGCATGTTTATGAGACAGACAAAAGACACCAGCAATCCTACCATCATGTAAAACAATTACAGGCTTTTGTTTTACACTCACTTGGCAGGACGGTAGTACCTCCCTGGGCGGTTGCTGTCTACCAACCTACTACCTAGAATTTTTCATATTATTTTATATAATTTTTATGTTCTGATAATTACAATTTGTAGTAGTTCTTGTCATTTCATAACTAATCTTTGTTCTGACACTAGTATTAGGTACTGAAATTGTACTCAAATTGTCACAAACACGCTGACAGGTGGACATTTACACCTGCCTTAGCCATTAACTATTGTCGTGGAATATATACAAAGTATTTTTAGGTCCCAGCAATGTTTTGGATATGTGGAAGTATATAATAATAATGAGGAGGAGGAGGAGGAGGAGGATGGAGGAGGATGGAGGAGGAGGAGGAGGAGGATGGAGGAGGAGGAGGAGGGAGGATGGGAGGAGGAGGGAGGAGAGAGGAGGAGGAGGAGGAGGAGAGGAGGATGGAAGGAGGAGGATGGAGGAGGAGGGGATGGAGGAGGAGGAGGATGGAGGAGGAGGAGGATGGAGAGGAGGAGGAGGATGGAGGAGGAGGAGGAGGAGGGAGGAGGAGGAGGATGGAGGAGGAGGATGGAGGGGATGGAGGAGGAGGAGGATGGGAGGAGGAGGAGGAGGAGGAGGATGGAGGAGGAGGAGGGAGGATGGAGGAGGAGGAGGATGGAGGAGGAGGAGGAGGAGGAGGAGGATGGAGGAGGAGGAGGAGGAGGAGGATGGAGGAGGAGGAGGAGGAGGATGGAGATGGAGGAGGAGGAGGATGGAGGAGGAGGATGGAGGAGGAGGAGGATGGAGGAGGATGGAGGAGGATGGAGGAGGAGGAGGAGAAGGAGGAGGAGAAGGAGGAGGAGGAGGAGAAGGAGGAGGAGAAGGAGGAAGAGGAGGAGGAGGAGGAGGAGGAGGAGGAGGAGGAGAAGGAGGAGGAGGAGGAGGAGGACGATGATGATACGTAATAATAATAAAATAATAAATTCCTTTGAAGCATAAAAAACAAAGTCCACCCCTGACAGTGACGTGATAAGATGAGATAACATTTGATAAGAGCTGACGTTTGATGAGCATTCGCAGTGGTGCAGTGATAAGACTTGATAAGAAAAGATTAGGGCCTGCTTTGTTTTCACTGGTACACAAAAATGTCTGTCTATTTGTCTGTCTCTCAAGCTCCCTGTCTATCTGTCTATCCGTCTAGCTCTCTGTCTCAGAGAGCCACAAGACTGCGTCGTCATCACATTTACTCACATCTTCAAGCAGAGTATAGCACTTTGTCTGGATTTTTTGGGTTGCCCTAGGTAATTTACACTATGTATACTTGTATTTATGTGTACCTGTGAGACAGAGATAGACAGGGATAGACAGAGACAGATAGACAGAGACAGATAGAGACAAAGATAGACAGAGACAGGCAGAGATAGAGACAGAGAGACAGACAGAGATAGAAATAGATACAGACAGACAAATGGAGATAGAGCCAGGCCGCCAGCTGCCGGCCAGCCACACAGCTGGCCAGCCAGCCACACAGCTGGCCAGCCAGCCAGAATTGTTTCTCTTTACTTAGGGCATAGGTTATAAGACATTCTGAAAGGGTGTTGCACAAATATTGCACATGGGTTATCATCGAGGTTTTTTGATATTTCCTCGACCACTTGTGGCCACTTCCACCTCAAAGCCACTAAACTCAGGGTCAAAATCACTTTCCTCTTAAAATGGGAGTGTTAATACTACATGACATCAGTGAATCCCAGGTGTTTGCTATGCTGTATGCTCTAGCTGGTGCTCATTTGAACTGGTGCTCCCACAAGGTACTAAGTGGCCCCAGATTTTTTTAATACTGCGCACACTGAGTGTTAGAACCCATTCTATGCTGACAAGGCATCTCAGGCCAATCGTGCCAAATTTGAAGGCAGGAAAAATAAAACATATATACGTTTGGGGCACTAGCAGTAAAAAAGTATATACAGTATACGTTTGGATCATTTACGGGTTAAACTCTTCTCAAACGTAAAATACATTTATCAACTGTAATTCATTTTTTAGAGGAGAGACCCTTCAAAACCAGCTGAAAACATAATAGCAGAGAGACCAGAAGGGAATTTTGGTCAAGAAGGAAGAGCTGATGAACACAGAGGACAGACAGCAACAAGAAATGTTCACAAAAACCCAACAAGAGGAGGTGTGGATGAGAGTGTTGTACCCAAGAAACGATATAAAGATGTTACTTTTACCTCCTGCACTGCCAGAATAACTGTGAAAGTTATTGTCAAGTAAGTCAGTATTATCTTTCTGATAGGTAATTGAGATTTTACTACATATCTTCTTCCCAACTAGTAGAATCTTACAACATACCTTGTACTGCCACATACCTTATATTTCCTAACTAGAGTAATCATTGATGTACCATATACCTTATACAGCATCACCTGATACTATACCATTCAATCACTTGGCTCATTTGTTTGTAATAAGTGAGATGATTACAATACTGGATTTATATAAATTTCAGGTATATACTCTGTTACTTATTTATGTTATGCAATAGTCACAAGGAGGGTGATCAGGGTACCCTTATCCCCCTCCCAGTGGCTGTATTGCACACCATCCTCACTTGTTTCTGCAGTTACTTCTTTCAACACACCAGCCACACCGCACCAAAGGAGGGTGGCCCAAAAAGAAAAATGAAAGTTTCTCTTTTTAAATTTAGTGATGTATACAAGAGAAGGGGTTACTAGCCCCTTGCTCCTGGCATTGTAATCACCTCTTATGACAAACATAGTTTACAGAGGAGGAAGAATTCGGTTCCACTTCCACATGGAGAATTATTTATTTATCTAAGTTATATATATTTGTCATATTGAGTGGCATGTTATTCTTCTGCCCATTTCATTTTCCTCATCCCCGCTTGACTTTTTTTTTTTTCTTTTTTTAGCATATCGGCTATCTTCCCACCAAGGCAGGGTAACTCCAAGAAAACTATATAAAATTTTTCTTCTTTTTACATTTAGCAGTTTTTACAGGAGAAGGGGTACTAGCCCCTTGCTCCTGGCATTTTAGTTTCCTTTTATGGCATGCATGGCTTACGGAGGAGGGATTCTTCTCCACTTCTGCATGGAGATTCCTGACTCTTCTGTTTATAAATTCATCTTTGCTTCTCTTACCTACTCTTATTTTATACTTTTTCTGTACAATATATTTTGAGCTTCTTTTCTTCTCTTCTCCTGTCACCCTTGCACCTTCATATCACACAGTTGCTCCTTATCACAATTCTTTGACCATTTGAGGGTCGAGAGGCTCTCTCCCAAACTCGTTCTCAGGGTCGAAAATTTTTCGAAAAAAAAATGATAGAGAATCTTTTTCTGATTATAATGACATCAAAAGTATGAAATTTGATGGAAAACTTACAAAATTATGCTCTCGCAAAGTTAGCGGTCTCAAAGACATTTATGCATCGGTGATTTCGCCCACTTTGAGCCCTATTTTCAGCCAATTCCAATGTTGCAGTTGACTAAAATCATAGCTATTTCCTTAGAACTCCATTTGTTCTATCGATTGAGTACAAGAATCTGCCCATTTACTGATTTCAGCTACCCAATAAAGTGGTCAGAAATTGGCAATTTGGGCAGTTTCACACAAATTTCTAAAAATGCCAATTTTGAAATAGGGTCCAGAACAAACAAGACAGACATTCATGGCACTAAAATAACATTTTATCTGTTCATTAGTCACGTCTCTAGGCCCCTCTTACATTACTTTTGCTTTCCCCTTTGAATTTTTATTCTCGTAGAAAATAGAAGGTTTTCTGTTACGTATACTATTGCATCATTGTAAAAATGGTATAAATAATGTTAGTGCAGTTGTGAAAGAATATTAGACTCACCAGTTGATGTGTATTGGATGCATGATGTGATTTGTTTACTCTTGAACATCAGCAAAATTCGATCATTTTTGCTACTTCGAGCTCAGTTTCAGGATACTTGTCATTGTGAAACCAATAAAAATCATCTCTATTTCTGTAATATATTTTCCATTCTATCAAATGGGACCAAGGAAATGAGAATACAACTATAAATACCATACGAAAATACACTTGAAAGTCACTATTTTAAACCAAAAACACGGTCAGTTTTTTTTTTCTCATTATGCACTGCTTGCTTCAGGATTTTTTTTATACTGTGCACACTCACCACACAGACCCATTCTTTCACATGGCGGTCTACCAGCTTTCTTCCACCAGATTTGAAGGCGCTAGAATTTAGGTGTACAAGTAAGTGACCGACTCTGCTGCAATGACATACAGTGAGCCCTCAGGTAATGGCATTAATCTGTTCCAGAGAGCTTGCCTTTAACCGATTTGGACAGCCAAATTAATTTTCCCTATAAGAAATAATGGAAATCCAATTAATCTGTTCCAGACACCTGAAAGTATTAAACAGAATAATTTTTACTACATGAAATATACATTTCTCTACATAGAAAACAATGAGTCATGCACAATAAACAGTACTGAAATGACACTTACCTTTATTGTGGACTTATTGATGAGTGATGAGATGGGAGGAGGGAAAAGGTGGGAGGTGTACTATTGTTTGGAAAGGGAATCCCCTTCCATAAAGGCTTCAGGTAACATGTCCTTTTCTGGGGTTACCTCCCTTCTTTGTTTTTTAATGGCACTAGGACCAGCTTGAGAGTCGCTGGACCCCTGTCGCACCAAATACAGTGGACCCTCGGCTAACGATTTTAATCTGTTCCAGAGAGCTTGTCCATAACCGATTTTATCGTTAGCTGAATTAATTTTCCCCATAAGAAATAATGGAAATCCAATTAATCCGTTCCAAATACCCAAAAGTATTAATTTTTTTTTTACATGAAATATACATTTTCTTACACAGAAAACAATGATACATGCACAATAAATACATGAAGAATAAATGACACTTACCTTTATTGAAGATTTATTGATGAGTGATCAGATGGAAGGAGGGGAGTTGATGGAGGTGTATTATTGTTTGGAAGGGAAATCCTCTTCCATAAGGACTTTAGGTACCAATTCCTTTTCTGGGGTTACTTCCCTTCTTTGTTTTTTAATGCCACTGGAAAGAACTTGACAGTCACTGGACCTCTGTCACACCAAAAATCTGTCCATAGAGCTCTGTTTCTGGCGTTCCTTTAAGATTTCCCTAAAATGGGACACAGCATTGTCATTGTAAAAGTCACAAGCACAGCTAATAGCTGTGTCAGGGTGATTTTCATCCATAAAGGCTTGCACCTTTGTCCACATTGTACAAATGTCCTTAATCACTGAAGAAGGCAACTTCCTCCATCTCTCTCTCCCCTCCTCTGAAGCAGTATCCTCAGCTGTGGTCTGTTGCCATTGCAGATGGTCTTGCAGCTCATCAGCGGTTAGTTCTTCATCATCGTCCTCCACCAACTCTTCCACATCCTCACCACTAACCTCCAACCCCATGGACTTCCCCAATGACACAATAGATTTCACAACTGGTATAGGCTCCTCAGGGTTAGCCCCAAACCCTTCAAAATCCCCCTCACTTGTACACATTCTGGCCAAGCAAAGTTCGAGGTCCTGTTAGTCACTCCCTCCTATGCCTTACCTACAAGGTTTATGCAACTGAGGATACTGAAGTGATATTTCCAAATCTCTCTTAGGGTCAATTCAGTGCCTGAGGTCACTTCAAAGCACTTTTGAAATACTGCTTTGGTGTACAGTTTTTTGAAATTTGAAATGACCTGCTGGTCCATGGGCTGGAGGAGAAGAGTGGTATTAGGAGGGAAAAATTTTACCTTTATAAAACTCAAGTTCCCCGCAATTCGCTCTTGCAAGTCTGGAGGATGAGCAGGAGCACTGTCTAATACCAAGAGGCACTTGAAGTCCAATTTATTTTCCAGGAGGTATTTTTTCACAGTGGGGCCAAACAGAGGTGTTGCTAGGGCTGGTGTCACCCGGGGCAGCATCTTTGGTGTCACCCCCATGAAATCCAAGGGAGGGGGGATGGGAGGGAATAAACTCCAGTTACGTCACTACTGCATGACCAGTGACAAATGTTTAACAATGAGAACGTTTAAGGGCCATAAACTGAACAGGAGAATACTTCTCAACTTTATTAATGATAAAATAAATAATCGTAGTAATATTGAGGAAACATAAGCTCAAATATCACTTTGAGTACAGCTAACACATCCTACATTTATTATTCTTCAACAATGGCAAAAAAAAAAACTTGAAAAATAAAGAAAAATACTGCAATATCAGAGAAACACTAGTTCCGACCTGACCTTGAGTACAGGTAACATCTCAGTGAATCAGATCATACATTTCCTTGCCTTCAATCCTGCAAAATCATCTATCACCTCATCAAATTCAATGCTGTCAACTGACCCATTTTCTATGGATAACATTGCTATGTCAGAGATTCTGGATCGACTCATTGTGGACCGTAAATAGTTTTTAATCAGCTTCAACTTGGAGAAACTCCTTTCACAAGAAGCCACAGAAACACACAGTAAGGAACAACCTCAGGCAGAGTGTCAGAGTTGGAAGAGATTCAATGAAATCCCATTCACCTATGAATGTTAGTACATCCAGTGAAGTTCAGTGCTTAACTTTTTCAAGATCAACATCAGCAGCTTGCAGGTGCCTCCTTCGTCTTGGTATTTCAAGCATGAGCTCATTCTTGCATATTTCATTATAGAAGACTGTGAGTCTTGAAGCCATCACCTCCAATTCTTCTTTAGTAGCTTGTACAAGATTCTTTGTTTGAATGACCACAAACATGGCTGCCACATCCTTGATTGCTTTTGATCATATCTCGAGTTCATTATGAAAACAATCATTGCACTCCAACATCGCCCTCTTGTTTTCTTCCTGTAGAGTGAGTCCGGAATCTCTTGCCTGCTCCCCTGCCATCCTTTTCTTTAACCTGATTCTTCTCTCTGTTGGAAATCCATGCTTCTCACATTTCAAAAGTGCCTGTTGTATTGAATTTTCCACTATGCGATCTCACCCTTCATTCAAAAATAATCGCAGTGACTCTAGCTTCACCACCACTTTGTCAAGAGTTAAATCCTTAGTCTGCAAGTACTGCTGTGCAAGCTGAACCTCCTGAAGTATGTCACACCATAAATACAGATAACACAGAAATGTGAAATCGCACACAGCAGGAAGAAAACCTTGTGCTGCTCTTGTATCCAAATTTTCCCATGAATCGCAAAGAGCTTCAATCGCTCCCACAAATTTCTCGAAAGATTCCAC